CTCCCGGCTGCGTTCGCCTTAGCACGTGAGTTATCGGCCTCTTATCAAGACTTGCAGGGTGCCTCTTCCTCACGCCGTGCATGGCTGGTCCGCCAACCAGCGACCACTCCCCCTGGGTTTCCAATTTCGGCCAACCCGTCCCAGATCCCGCCGCCTTCCCGAGGGTCCTTTCCGCCATCCAAACCCGCTGCTTCCAGTTCTCTCTCTCAGTTGCCTATTGTTAAAGTGAGTGCGGCCGATAAGGCCGAGCGGGCAAAAAAAGGGTTGTGTTGGTATTGTGATGAAAAGTGGGTTCCGGGGCACCATTGCAAACACCGCTTTCTCGCCTTTATGGGGCCCGACGACGACGACGACGACGACCACACTGCCAATGCGGATCAGGTTGCTGAGGATATTATTACTGCCGATATTTCAAGTATGCATTCACTGGCCGGCAGTCCTCATCCTCGTTCCTTGAAACTCCTCGGGGCTGTGAATGATGTTCCGGTCCAGGTTCTACTGGATGGCGGTAGCACTCATAATTTTTTGCACCCCGCCATGGCTGAACGACTTGCCTTGGTTCTTCACCCAGTGACCCCATTCCGTGTGTATGTGGGCAACGGGGATTCCCTACGATGCTCCTATTCCTGCCAGCAGACACCCCTATTCCTCCAGGGCAACACCTTTGACGTTGATTTGTTTATTTTGGAAATTCATGGGCCGGACATCGTGTTGGGGGTGCAATGGCTGCAAACCTTGGGCAAGGTGTCTCACGATTATGCAAATTTGACTATGGAATTCTCGTATCAAGGCAAGGCGGTGATTTTACGGGGCGATAATCAACCTCCTCGGCCGATTGCTTACAATCATCTATGGGCGCTGACAAGTCGGGCAACAGATCTCGAATTTTATGAACTCGTCGTGACCTCGGCCCCTACCCCCACGACAGCAGAGGCCACCCTTGAGTTACCCACTGACGTTCCGGCTCCAATCCGCGCCATTATACATGGCCATGCAGCCCTATTTTCTCCGCCAGTCGGCCTACCACCCTCACGCCCATGGGATCACCAGCTACACTTGGTTCCGGCCGCCAAACCTGTCAATGTGCGTCCTTATCGCTACCCTTATTTCCAGAAAACAGAAATCGAGCGTCAAGTCCGGGAAATGTTGCAACAAGGGCTTATACGGCATAGCCAGAGCCCGTTTTCTTCTCCGGTCTTGCTGGTCCGAAAGAAAGATGGGTCCTTTCGTTTTTGTGTGGATTACAGAGCACTCAACGCAGCTACAGTACCCGACCATTTTCCCATCCCCACCACCGACGAACTTTTTGACGAATTGGGCGCGGCACGGGTCTTCACCAAGTTGGATCTCCGTTCCGGTTATCACCAAATCCGGATGCACGACCCGGACATTTTTAAAACGTCGTTCCGCACCCACGAGGGCCATTATGAGTTCCTCGTCATGCCATTTGGACTCACCAACGCGCCGTCGACGTTCCAAGCCGCCATGAATGACATTTTTCGGGCTTATCTTCGGAAGTTTGTAATCGTCTTCTTCGACGACATCTTGGTTTACAATGATACAATGGATGCACATGCCACCCACCTCCGTACAGTCTTGGGCATTCTTCATACAAACTCCTTCTTTGTCAAGTTGAGCAAGTGTTCCTTTTGCAAAGCCACAATCGATTATCTCGGTCATCTCATCACTGCCGGCGTACTCAAACCAGATCCTGCCAAGATTTCAGCGATGGTGTCCTGGCCAACCCCAACCACGGTACGGCAGTTACGCGGCTTCCTTGGCCTCACCGGGTACTATAGGCGCTTCATCGCCGGTTATGCATCCATCGCAGGCCCCTTAACAGATCTCTTAAAAAAAGAGGGCTTCGTGTGGTCTACCGCAGCGGAGGACAGTTTCCAGCGGCTAAAATTGGCCATGACCACGGCCCCGGTCCTCCGGCTTCCGGACTTTACCCAGCCATTCTACCTCGAGACGGATGCATCTGCCACGGGCATTGGCGCGGTTTTACTCCAACATGGACATCCAATCGCTTTCTTTAGCAAAAAGCTCGGGCCTCGGCGTCGCACCGCGTCGACGTACCACAAGGAACTTTATGCCATTGTCGAAGCCGTCCAAAAGTGGCGCCAGTATTTGCTTGGACGGGAATTCGTGATCCGTAGCGATCAACGGAGCCTTAAGGAGCTTCTGTTGCAAGTTATTCAAACTCCGGACCAACAGTTCTATATCCGGAAACTCATGGGATTCAAGTTTCGTATTGAATACAAGACTGGGGCATCCAACAAGGCGGCGGATGCATTGTCCCGACGAGAGGCAGAGGAGGACTCTTCGGCCAACCTCTTCACCACTTATGCCCAGCCGGTCCCCCGTCTCCTCGCTACTCTCCGACACGAGCATCTCCACTGCCCAGAGATTGTGGCGTTGGTTGACGCCGTGCGCTAGGGCAAAGCTGCCAGGCCCTATTCATGCCATGACGGCATACTCTACTACCACCACCGCATTTATGTCCGCGCCGGTTCGCCCTTATGCACTCAACTTCTCACAGAATTTCATAGTACCCCCATCGCGGGACACCAAGGCGTTGACAGAACCTTCCGGAGGTTAGCAGCTGTTTTCTTTTGGCCGAATATGCGCAAATCCGTCCGCCATTTTGTGGCCGCTTGCATGGTGTGTCAAGCTACTAAGTACTCCACACAGAAACCAGCAGGCCTATTGCAACCATTACCAATCCCGGATCGTGTGTGGGACTCGGCGTCGATGGACTTCATTACAAGCTTGCCCCCGTCTCGTGGGTGCACGGTGATCATGGTGGTGGTCGACCGCCTCTCTAAATACACTCATTTTGGCTCCTTACCACCGGCGTTCGATGCACCCCGGGTAGCGCAGTTGTTCCTTGACACGGTGGTCAAGCACCATGGCTTTCCGTTATCAATTGTATCCGATCGTGACCCCGTTTTTATGAGCACCTTTTGGAAGGAACTCTTGAAGCTTAGTGGAACCACCCTCCAGTTTAGCACTGCTTATCACCCACAGACCGACGGGCAAACGGAGGTGGTCAACCGGAGCCTTGAACAATACTTGAGGGCCTTCACCTTCGAACGGCCGCGCCGGTGGGCTTCATTTCTGCCTTGGGCTGAGTTGGCCCTGAACTGCAGCCACCATGAAGGGTTGCGCATGACGCCATTCCAAGCGTTGTATGGCCGCGAACCTCCGAATTTGTTTGCTACAATGGCCGTCCGATCTCGCAGCCCCACTGTCGAAACAATGCTACAAGAACGTGCTGAGCTTCTGGCCGATTTGAAGGCCAATTTGAAGCGGGCTCAACAGAGGATGCAACACCAAGTTAATCAACACCGCCGTGACGTAGTTTTTCAGCCCGGGGATCTGGTTTTGCTCAAACTCCAGCCCTATCGTCAACATTCGGTGGCCCGGCCACTATCTCACAAGCTCTCTCGTCGTTTTTACGGTCCATTTGAGGTGAAAGAACGGATTGGGGCAGTGGCTTACAGATTGCGCCTTCCCGACGGCTGCAAAATTCATGATGTTTTTCACGTCTCACTCTTGCGCCCTTTTGTACAATCCGGCGTTCTCCCACCGCCGGCAGCCCTGCCCGACGAACTCCACAGAGGGCGCCCGTTATCTGTGCCGCTTGAGGTTGAACGATCACGCTCAGTGTTGGTGGATGGGGTGCAGCAGACAGAGTGGCTGGTACGTTGGTCCGATGGGGCAGATCATGACACCACGTGGGAACCAGAGGAGGAGCTCCGGCAACGCTTCCCTACGCTCAACCTTGAGGACAAGGTTGTTCCTGAGCCCAGGGGAGTTGATACGAAGGTACCATCGGACACGTTAAGCAATGACGTGGTGGACTCGACTACGGCACCGGTGTGTTCTCGTCCGCATAGGAACGTGGGCCGTCCAAGAAAATATGACGACTATGTTTAAACGTATCATTTTAAATTATTGGCTTTTATTTTTATTGTATCGTAGATTTTTTTAGGTGAGCGGTTTATAAGCTCCTTCGAGGGTTTCTTTACGGTTCTTTACCTCGTCGNTTTTTTTGAACCGTCAGGATAGATAACCTAGACTAAGTAGGATTAAGGGGGTTATTTGTTATAAATAGGGCGTCCAATGCTCTCCTAATAATCAATAAAGAATTCCCTTAAACCCTAAAACTCTCTCTCTTTCCCTAACTCTCCTTCTCACGTAACTCTCTCTTTTCCCTCTTCCCCCCTGCCGCACGGACCTTCCTCCCCGTCAACCTCTTGTTGACACCTTTGGGAGGTATTTTATTTCTATAATATATATTTATATATAAATAACAATATTAATATTCAAACTGTTACATTAAAGACCCTAAAAATTAAATAAAATTAATTTTAGGACGAAAAGAGTAGTTCTTAATGAGAAAGTTTGGATTAGGCCGTTTGGGTGCATAAAGATGGCTGGAGTTTGGGTTGTGAATAGACCCGGAAAAAATTGACCCGATTTGATATTGATCCGAAATTCGACACGAAATTAGTGAGTTCTGAACATCGATTTTGCGATCCAAACCTAAAATGACCCAAACGCGAAGACTCGTTAAATTTTTCGGATTGGGTCAGATTTGACCCAACGGGTTATGCACTTAATTGTTTACTTATATGATGTAGACTAGAATGAATCACAAAATCAATGCATATCCATTTCTATCCTGAATTATTATTGATTAAAAATATGAAAATTCTAAAAAATGTAATCTTTTATTGTGTGCATTGCTGATTAAATTTAGAATTTAATAAAGAATATAATTGTATATGTATCTATATGTTTTTTATTAAGGATATCATATATCCGTTACACTAAAAATCATTAAGTATTTTTTTTAGATATTATTCATTTTAAAATTCTAAAAAAATTTTAAAAAATTGACATTCATCTCAAAGTATATAATAAATATATTTCCGTGCAACGTACGGGTGAAGCACTAGTTCAGATTTAATATATAATTTTTCCCAATTCCAAATATAAGTTTTCATTTTTCACTTCACAAATCGAGTTAAACAGTTAAAAATATGTCCATTTGAATTTTATTTAGAGGATAAAATTAAAATGGTAGTGAAACGTATCCCACGTAAAATTAAAATGGTAGTGAGATGTATTCCACGTACATTTTATTACATGGTTGAAAATAAAATAATGTAAACTTTATTTTTGGACATCTCAAAAATAAAATTTCACCTTAATTTATTTCAAATTTTAATTATCAACATTACGTACACTTTCATGCAACTACACGAGTTTTCCTTAAAGTTAACAAACTAATAATTTACTTTATTTAAATGCACTTTTCAGTTTTTCCATACTAATGACAGTGTCAACTTAGACTTTGGCACTTTGCTTTGAAACAACATTTTTCAATTAATATTAACGTTTTGGATAAAACTTTAATAATGTAAATTGATTCTGAAAATGCTAAAGGCTACTCTCGGATAACTTTTTCAAAATACTAATGCTAATCTCTAACGCTGATGTCAAACGAGACCTTACGAGTACAAAAAAAATGATCTACAACTTTCTTAGTCCAAAATTTATTGTCCAATTTTGACTTCACAAAAAAATTAAAAATTTATTAAAAAAAATTAAAAACAAGTGATTAAAATTTATTTAGAAAAAAAAAAGAAAACTATTAAGAATCACGTATTTCATAAATTATTAAGAAAGCAATAAAATACAAAGTAAGAAAATCATTTTGCAATGAATTAAGGTAATGTTTGGCAACTAGCATTTCATTTCAATTCATGTATTTCAATTCCAAAATTTGAAATCCTGAATTTTAAATGACAAGGGGAAGTGTGTGGATTTCAAATTAAGCTTTGTTATGAATGAAAAGAATTTGACTCAAATCAAAATTCAAAATGTTTGAGTTTCCCAAACATGAAATTTGAACCAAATCCGGATTTGAAATCCAAATCCATGTTCCCAAACATACCATAAAGGAATGTAAAAATATTAATTCGGGGAGGATAAGTTGCGGATAAATAGGGTTGGGCGACAACTCACACAGAGACAGGCGATGTGGAAACAGCAGAGAAATGCCACGTGTCTGTTGGCAATTCGGATAATACTACGAGTAAAAAAAACTTGGAATCAAGAAACAACCAAATTTGTAACCGTCATTAACGGTCCACAGTCCACACAAGTCGGTTAGTTTTAGGCGGCGCGTTTATTCTAAAAAAATGCACCATATTTTCCATTTAATAATAATGTTTTCCTTCACAATTCACATTATCAAACTTTATTTTACTTTGATGACATATTTTCATTGTCCATGTGATAAAAGAATATAGTAATGTCACATTTATTTTGTACATCTTTTCATGTAGTTAATGAATATATATTTTTTTTATCTCATATAATTTTTTATATAAATTGATTTGAAATTAATTTTAGTCTAACATCGTAACGCGCGATGAGAACATTATTATTGGATGAAGGAAGTATTTATAATACATTGTATCATTTTTTTTGGTTAAATTATTACTCATATATATCTTGACCACAAATTGTGTAACACATTCTCCGTCTGTTCTGAAATTAATTTCTTAATCTTATTTTCTTGGTCAAATTTTTTAAACTTTGACCATATATTACAGAAAAAATACATTAAATTTTTATATAAATTTAATGAAAATATATTCATTTTGATACACAATTTTGAAATATTTTTTATATATATAATTTATGTTTATATATAATTATATAAATAGATATATTAATGAACAAAGTAATTTTAGAACAATGAGAAGTATATTTTGTTATAATACAAATTTTAAAAATTAAATTTTTTTGAATTTCTAGTTTTTATATATGATATTTTTTTAGTATTTATTTATTTAAAATTATATTTACAAATTGAGAAAGTGTAGCCGTTTGACTATTAAAGTTGTACTATAAAAATTGAGATAAAGAGAGTATGATACAACAGATTGAAAAGAGTCTCAAATTAAATTAATTCGATTAGAATTCAAATAGCAATCTAATAAAGAGACAAAGGGAGTATATGCCACAACAGATGTGTACATACTAAATATAAAATCATTTTAAGTGTCATATCAAGTACTTTGTACATGCTTTATTTTTTGAGTCGATTAAATCTCGCTTTACTTTCTCAATTAAACTACACAAACAATTTAGGGGTATCAAGAGTATCCTCTTAATTGAATTGCATCTAATCGTTTATCGAAGAAACACATTCAAGGTCTATCAAAGAAAGCAACAAATACTTATATTATTGATATAAATTTTGAAACGTATCATATTGAGATAAAAAAGAATTTTGAACGTATTCAATCTTCAAGAATAATAAAGTAGTAAAGAGAAAATGAAAATTTTGAACATTTCTATACTCCAAAAAAAAAGATAATGTGTCTATAGATAAATAGTTATATTATACTACAAAAAAATTTGACCTTTTGTGGCATTGAATTTTTTATGAAAACTTTTTCCATCAAATTTTGCCATTGCAAATTCTAGAATTTAGTACAAACATCATGTCGCTAAAAAATTATTTTTTTGTAGTGATTAATGGTTTAAGTATCCTATAAAGGATCATAAACACTCAGATAAAAAGAATGATATGAGACAAAGAATAATTAATACGGAGTAACTAATATCCATGCATTCTGATTTAAAAAAATAAACATAACAAGCTACCCCACAAAGATTATGTTAGGGACTTTTTGAAACCATTAATTTTTCAGTCGAAACATTGTAGATACTTCGATTAAATTTGTTGTCCTATTATGACAACACCCCTTGTTGTGTAAAGAGGAGAGATGTTTATACATACACACACAATAGGGAAAAAGATAAAAGTAGGAGCAAAACATTAAAAATATATCAAAATAGGACTTCTATATTTTTATTTCCGAAATAGGAGTTAAAATATATTTACATAACCAAACATGGTCATATACATTACCAAAAAACAAAGTAATGTGCACATTTACAGTGCCACATTACCATAATGCAAAATCATATTTCGGAAAAAATTATGAAAGTCCTAATTTGATAATTTTCTTTATGTTTTAGTTCTATTTAAGGTGATTTTTACATATAATAATCATTTATATTTAGACTTTAGAGACGAGTTCCTATCATTTTTTATTCCATAATTTTTTTTGAAGTCATTTTTTTATTCCATAACTGATATGGAGGAAGAGTGTGTTTGAGAATAGCACTAGAGATTAGCGTTAACGTTTTGAAAAAGGTTATCTACAGGTAGCGTTTAGTGTTAGCATTTTTTAAAGAATTTGCATCGTTTAAATTTTATTCCAACGTTAATGCTAATATCTAACGTTATTCTAAAAAAAGGTTCGAAATACTATTCTCCTATTGTTTACTCCTGTAAATTCGTAATGGCCAGCAATGGCTGCTCAACTGGTCCAAGACGAGGATGTTACGTCCGTTGATTCTAGGGTCGAGTTCCGAAGAGTGTGTGAGTTTTATTATTTGTAATATTTCCCTCTATGCATCGACACTTATCAACCACTCTAAAAACCAGATTGAATTATGCCATGATTTAATCCGAGCTGGGTGTGGTGTGGGACCCGAGGGGCCGGATGGATGGGCCTTCCACCTTCTGTAAATCCGTGATTGATTTATCTTTCAGACTTTCACGCAATAAAGCACCACAGTCACACACACACTTCTACACGCAGGAGGAAAGTCTGTGCCTTTAAAGTTAACCCAAACCCAATCCCCAATCACCATAGCTTGCGCCTCCAAGCAAAAGCAAAGAAACAATTACAATCCAAAGAAAGCCAAATATTCCCAATAACAGCAACCAATCTACACAGCTAAGAGACCTAACCTTCTGTCTCTTCTTTTTAATCACCCTCTCGAAATTTCACAAGATCTGCAAATTCTTGGGCAAATCTTGGAGATTTAATATGGGCAGTTTATCCGCATCATCGGCAGTGATTCAAGGGAAGCATAAGCCTGAGATCTGTTTCTGCAGGACAAGAGAGTCTGCCGGAATCAAGAACAAGACCCATTCCACAGTTCCTGTAAATCCCTCTCTTCTTTGTCTTGTTTTCAGATTTTCATGGAATTTCTTGGGGGAATTAGTGATTAAAGATTGAATCTTTTTTTCTATGTTTGGGG